ACCATCTTGTGTTTGAACAATTGGTCCGAAGACCTCTATATTGTTTAATGAGTCAAGCTCTGATTGAATCGCATGTTTCAATTTTGGCCAGTCATTTCTTTGCCGACATTCATGAACCGATTTTGGCTCTGGATCCTCGTTTTCTTCCATTATATCAAGTGCTAAATTGTATGCGAAGGCATTATCAATAATTGCCTCTTTACGGTTCCAACATTTTCTTGAAGTAATATAGTTAATTGGGTTTTCAATAATCTCATCATGTTCTTCAAGATCGTGCTCTTCTGGAGCAATTATTTCAGGGTTGACTTCCTCGTTAGATTGAGGTTTATCAATGTCATTCCTGATATTTTTATGATTATCATCATTAATTCCTCTTTTCTTTCGAGGGTGTTTATCTTTGGAACCGAGTGGTCTACCACGCTTTAAGCGTGTCGCTGATTCATTAGCACTTGCAATTTGTCCATCAGGGACAATTATTTTAGCCGGAGCATTAGCAGCTTGGATATATGATCGAGTGACTTTGCTCGAGTCATTGAATGCATCCGGTAATTGATTTGCAATATTTTACAAATGTATAATGCGTTGAACTTCTAGTTCACACTGCTTTGTGCGAGGATCACAAAAATTCAAAGGGATTTTCCAATTAATATCCCTTTTCGGTTTTTTTTTGTCTCCCCCTAATGTCGGAAAATATGATTCGTCAAAATGACAATCTCCAAATCTTGCAGTGAATAAATCGCCCGTCATAGGTTCAAGATATTTTATAATTGACGGCGATTCATATCCGACATAAATGCCCAATCTACGTTGAGGACCCATTTTTGTACGTTTGGGGGGTGGAATAGGAACATAAACAACACACCCAAAATACGTAGATGAGATATATTTGGTTCATGACCAAATACTAACTGCATTGGGAATAGCTATGATAGCTTATCGGCCTCATTCTTATAAGTGTTCCTGCATGTAAGATTGCATGCCCCCAAGCTGAAACGGGCAACATAGACCTCATCAATAATGGTCTAGAAATCAATTGCAATCTTTTAATAAGTGATTCTGCCAGGCCATTTTGTGTATGAACATGAGCAACTAGGTACTCTACATTAATTCCAATCGACATGCAATAATCATCAAATGCATTCGATGTAAATTCACCAGCATTATCCAGACATATAGTCTTAATTGAATTATCGGGGAATTGTGCCCGTAATTTAATAATTTGGGCAAGCAATCTCGCGAATGCCATATTGCGAGTAGATAATAGACAGACATGTGACCATCTGGTAGATGCATCAATAAGCACCATAAAATATTTAAATGGCCCACACGGTGGGTCTATTGGTCCACATATATCCCCGTGTATTCTTTCCAAAAATGTAGGTGATTCAATACCTACTTTAGCTGGCGATGGTCTGGTTATCAATTTTCCCTGAGTGCAGGCAACACAAGTTAACTCATTTGAGTTTTAACATTTTTTGACCTTTTAATGAATGGCCATGTGAATTCTCAATTATTCGTCTCATCATTATACTGTCAGGATGCCCAAGACGATCATGCCATATTTGAAAATCGGTAGTCTTTTGATCTATCGTGAGGTGTGTTTCAACAACACCTAATCTGGCATAATATAAGCCAGTAGAGAGTGGAGGTAATCTCTCAATGATGCATTTCCTTTTATCAGTGATATTGGTGATCAATAAAAATTCACCATCGGTATCACTCATAGTTTCAATGTGATAACCATTTTTCTGAATGTCATGAAAGCTCAATAGATTTCTTCGAGCTTTAGTGGCCAACAGTGCATACTGTATCACAATTTTCGTCCCAGCGGAGAGAAATATAATGGCTTCTCAAGAGCCTTCAATTAATTTCGCACTGTCACTTATTGTACTGACATTCATTCTTTCCATTTTCAAATGGAAGAAATATTTGTCGTGTTTCAATATAGTATGTGTCGTTGCACTGTCAATGAAACACATATTTGCATCACTTTGATTGGCATCCATTTAACCAAAAACAAAATAGGCAAGAACCTTCGTGCTGATAACGTGTTATGTAATATATAATGATATAATGGTGCTAAGTATATAGATATATGTATACGGCTTTGAAGGATATTAAATATACGTAAGTTGGTAAGTATATTATATATATATTTATGTATTTATATGTGGATGTGGTATGTATATGAATATTATATATATATAATGAAGATATATATGTATAGTAATAAATGAATGTGGATAGAGAGATAAAGGAGCGTGCACAGGGAGAGAACGAGGGAATTGGGTGTATTCATTCATTCCAAATAGCACTACATATTTATAGGAGGATTTGACCAATAAAAAAATCCACACCTTAACTACACATGCATACACACACTACCTATACAATATATACGTAGTGGCTGCGTGTCTTAACAATTCATGAATTATTTGCAATTAATATATCTAATTCATATTTAAAATAAAAAAAAAATAACGGTAATAATAATTTTTTAAATCATTTTTAAAATTAAAAATAAGAATGTTGGTACATTTAAAAATATTTAAAACCAAAATGTTATTTGAATTTTTGTAGTAGATTTAAAAAGTAAGGATGCTATACATTTTAAAATAAATACTCCTTTCGTCCGCAATATTTAGGCTATGTGGATTAAGAAAAATAAATATTTTATTGAAAAGATATTTTTAAAAATTTAGCTAGCAATTAAAGAGAATGAAAAAAAATATATATAAAGTTAGTGATATTTATTGTGAATAAATATTGAATAAAGAATATTAATTAAATATTGTTTTTTGACTTTTCCAAATATAGTAATAAAGTAAATTTAACATATGCATTAATAAAGAAAATGATAATAAATTTGGCAGGACGGAGATAATAGTAATGATACTATTTATTAATACTTCCTCTATTGCAATGCAAAAAGTTATTTGAAATTTTGTACTAGTAAACTAGAAAATAATACTCCATCCGTCCAAGTTAAAAGTATACAATTATTTTTGGCGCAGAGATTAAGGAATAATAGTATTTTAATTATAGTGGGTAGGTAAAAATAGTAAAATGACATTTTTGACCTTACCTTTTTTGGTATAAAAGTAATGATGTGATGTAAAGTATGGGTATTTGTGAAAAAAAATAGGGTATTTAATAAAATGGTTACTTTGTAATTGGACGTCCCAAAATAGAAATATGTACAATTTCTAACTGGACAGAGGAAGTAATATTTTATTAGATAATAAAAGTGTATTATAAGATAATTTTTATATTTGTATTTTATATAAAATAAATATATTTATAATAATATATTTGTAATTTATAAAAAATTAAAAATAGTATTTTAGTATTACAGTGTAATTATGTACTTTCAGTTGATAAAATTAAATAAATTTATCATATCAAATATTTATTTATTTTTATTTTTATCATTTATTTTAAAATTTTGTCAACTACAATATAAACTAAATAATTTGAGATAAAAAAATAAAGATAAATTTAAATGCGTGTGAACCTATAATTATTTATTAGACAACCGTTTTCTTTTTGTCTCTCTTCAATATATTTCTTTTTATTATTTTATTATTTTTTATTTTTAATATGTGTGTATTTTTTTTTTCTTAATTAATAGAATAGGAGTGTGAAGTCTTCTCTTCTATGTTGTCCCCTCCTGAAGAAAGAATATAAAAGAAAAGTAAGAATACCATCCGTAACATTACTAATTTATTTTTTTAAATATACTTCTCGCCCGTCGTCCCAAAACAAAATATCTATTTTTTAATTTTAATTCATTTCATAACAAAGTATTCATTTCATTTTTTTAAGTAACTATACTATCTATTTAACATTACAAATACCCTTACAACTTACAATATATTAATACAAATCTCATTACATTTATATTATCACACAATACAAATAAGGTTATTTTGATAATTTCTATTTTATTTCTACTAAGGGTGTGTTTGTTTGGGGGATTGGATTAGATTTCCACTATTCATCCCATTTTTTTTTCTCCAAAAACATCAAATCAAACACCTATTTTTCATTTTTTTATATTATACTAAAAATTAATTTTACATTTAAAACATCACATCAATACCTATTTATATCACATCATACAACTATTCAAATTCAAAATTTTTACTATTCAAATCCCAACATAAAATCCAAACTCCCAAACAAACACACCCTAAATCTCAATATAATATTAATATTTCTAAAATTTCGTGCAAAAACAAACGAATACCTAGTTATGGTACGGAAGGAGTATTATTAATTAAAATTTTTATTTAGATAGAATTTTGATATAATATATTTTCACAAAAATAATACTCTCATCTTAATAATCTATCTATTTTTCTATTTTGATTCGTCGTATAACAAAAATATGTGTTTCATTCTTTAGTAACCGTACTTTCTAGTAATATTAAAAATATACTTACAACTTACAACATATTATACAAATGTCATTACATTTATATTACACAATACTAATAGTGTTATATATATTTTAGTATTTTTTTACTTTATTTATACCATATCACAATATAATACTGATATTTTTAAAACTTCGTGTAAAAAAAACAAATTATACTATTATATAATAATAATAATAATAATAATAATAATAATAATAATTAGTCCCATAAAAGATGTCTGATGGTATTAGAAGTTAACTTGTGTCTGTGGGTCATAAATTTAAACTCCGACACCTACATATCTAAGTGTCAGACATAATTAACTTAATATAATTTGTCTTGTCGAATCTACTATGAAAGATATTATATTCGGCCGTGTTAATGTAATAATAATAATAATAAAAAAGCATATCATATCATACTTTTCGTATATCACCACTTTTCTTCATTTTCCTATCATTCACACGGCGAGTCCTAAAAACCATATCGACAAAGAAAGAACAAAAGTACAATAAAAAATAAAAATAAAATAAAATATCTACCGCTTTCTTGACCTCTTAAATATTACATCTCTCTTTCTCCCTCTCTCATGCCGACCCCACTTTTTCTTTTACTTGTTTTTGTACAAGAACCTGACCCAAAGCTCCTCATACCCATCCCCCTCTCTCTCTCTCACTCTTTCTCTCTCTAAATTCGGTGAAGCTAAAGCTATACACAAAGCCCATGTTCTTTTTTCTTCCTTTTCAGTGAAAACCCTAACCCAGAAAATAATAAAGACAGACATGTAGAAGAAGAAGAAGAAGAAAGTACCTGCAGAGGATCGGAGATGTCCAGATCAGAGCTACCTCTGCCGGAGGAAACTAATTAAGGTAATTAATTATTTAATTTTCTGGAGATCATATGTTTTTATTTAATGGAAACTTCTGTTTGATTGCATTATTTCAGTGTTAAAAGATCATCGGATCAGAAAATAAAATCTCTGTTGCACTTACCACTGCTATTTGCTGTCTTACTTTATTTGGTTCTTTTTGTCTCTCTCTCCAGATTTTTGCTTTCTTCAGAAATCAATCAAAATGGATTCTGGCAATAGCGGGAGTTTCCAGTCCTCCAGCGGCGGCGACGACGAGTACGACTCACGCGCCGTCGCCGACTCTGTCTCCGCTTTCATTACTGGCTCCCAAATTCCCATCCCGCCGCCGCTCTTCTTTGATTCCAATTATGCCCATGCCCATTTCCAGTACCAGCAGAATCCAAACACCGCCCTACCCAGACCCGCTCTACCAAGATCCGACCCGAATAGCTATACCCATCCCCATATCGCTAACCCGATACTGGTCTCCGCCTCTCCGTCTTTCCAAGCGTCGCCGCCGGCGGTCGCCGACCGGTCCAGCTCCGGCCTTCCGCCGTCGCCGCAGCAGAATCAGCCGCGCAACCCGAGGAAACGATCGAGAGCCTCCCGCCGGGCGCCGACCACCGTGCTTACGACGGACACGACCAATTTCAGAGCTATGGTTCAGGAATTCACCGGAGTTCCATCTCCGCCGTTCAGTTCTCCTTTCCCGAGGTCTAGGCTCGATCTGTTCGGCACCTCCGTTAATGGAGGCGGCGTCCAGCCGCCGCCGTACCTCCGCCGTCCGTTCGCGCAGAAAATTCAGCCTCCGGCGCTCCCGCTCCCGTTTCTCGACTCCACCGCCGCCGCCGCCGCCGTTGAGGCGTCCATACCAGAAGCTTCTTCTTCTTCCTTCACAGTTAACAACAATAACGGCAGCATCAATTCCGTTTCCTCATCAACGGATTCCGTTACCTTCCAACTGCCAATCACCGCCCCTTTCGACCTAAATCAAAACTCACTTTTCACCTCTCTCCTCAAAACAAACCCCAAATTCCCATTCTCCAATTCTCCTCTAATCTCCCCAAAATCTCTTCCAATTTCATCACAAATCATCCCATCCACCGACGATCAGTTCCAATTACTCCATGGAAATCAAGTTTCTTCCTCTCTCAACACCTTCTTCCCTCCCGACGATCAAATTCCCAATTCAATTCCAAATCATGACAAGTCTCCTCTACCGCCTGACAATGCCGCCGACTTCGACTTCGCAAGGATGACCGATTTCTCCCCCGGTTCTTCCACAGCAACTCTTCTCCGCCCTGGAAAGGCGCCGGAAAACTCCCCGGCGGCGGCGACCGGAGAAGGTATGGTGGAATCGTGGATATGTTCTTCAGAGTAGAAATGATTACACCGCACAATGTATGCTGAGGTAATGATGACAGGTATGATTAGTAACAGAAAAAAAAAAAAGGCTACCTCATAGTAATTATAAATCTTCACTAATAACTTCAATTATGTGGATATAATTACAGTTTCATTTTTTTTTTTTCTTACATATAATTATAAGTTAACCCGAATTTCTGACATATAGATATATATTATTTCATTGTTTGTTACAGTATTAATTCTCGAATTTATTTATTTAAAATTGATTTAGATATTATAATGCATGCATTGCGATTTAGGGTGTTTACTTTTACCTGAATTGATTGCGTTCTATCGTGGTTGAAGTTGGAAGTATTTTAGCCGTTTTATTTTACCATTATAATTTAATTTAATTATTTAATTAATGGCGAGAAAGAATAATAAGAGGAGCGGTCGGCGGCGGGATTTCGGGAAGGGTTAGGTCTTCCTTTATATTGGTCAATAGCATCTTCTTTTTATTTTTTATTTTTTAATAGTATATATGTTTATATTTCCATGTGATTAATATTTAAATTAATTTTTTATGAATTATTGACATATGCATTATGGACTATGGTGCAAATAAAGATAACTTATTCGATACTATTCAAATTATTATTATTTTTGGAGTTCTTGTTTGTAATTTTAAAGATAAAAAGTACAAGACACGGCTGTCTGGAATTTTTATTTGATAGAAAAATTATTCAAAAGAATTTTAACGTGTGAATATTCGTATATTAATGCACAATGTGCTAGGATGATTTGAACACAAATTATATGTATTTGTTTGTAATCTATTTGATTTTCCACTTATTTAGAAGTAGAAAAGAAACTTGATATATTTGAAAAAAACACAATTATATTGAAATATTTTTGTTGATATGGAAAGTAATGATTTTAAAATATGCTTGTTAATTTATAAAAAAATTTCAAAATTTTGGAATTTTGTATGTTTATAATTAGTCCTCACATGCCTTCAATTGTGAAAGTCGATTTAATATACATAATATTCCATTTTATTTATATACCTATTATGCGTAAAAATTAATATAAATGATATCTATTTTGTTATATATATATATATATAATACACAAATGTAGGCATTATACAAATTTTGGATATGTTACTAGAAATTGGTGCTACAACTTTGTCAATGTTAAAGAGATTTGAATAAATGTAAAAATAAATTCTGTATATAGTTCTTGGACTTACGAATTAAACAATATTGATTTGTGGTTAATTGAGATTAATTCCCCAATAATAATAATAATAATAATAATAATAATAGTAATAATAATAATAATAATAATAATAATAATATTTTTTGCTCCATATACCAACCAAATAGATAATCAAAACCAACATTTCTAGGTTTTGCTAGTGTGACCTGTTTTGTTGAGCTTAATTTGCAAGTTATTAGATTTGATCGAAATTTTATTCAGAACGTACTTATCGAATAGCGACTAGGATTCCTATGTTAAAAAAAAGAAAAGAAAAACCGATGGGATTATGATGACGTTAGATGGGTTTTTTTCTGAGTCATATATATATATATATCGAGGGTGTGTTTGTTCAAGAGATTTTGCAAAAAATTCACTATTCATCCAAATAATTTTCACCAAAAAAATAAAATCAAATACTTATTTTTTATTTTTTTTATATTATTTTAAAAAATAATTTTACATTCAAATCATCGTATCAACACTTATTTATATCATATGATACAACTATTCCAATTCAAAATTTTTACTATTCAAATCCCAATTCAAAATCTACGTCTTCAAACAAACACATCCTGAGTAGAAACCAAATTAGAAAAAAGAAACAAGAAACAATGATACATTAGGAAGGTACGTACGTGTTTTCCACCGAGCTCAAGAAATAATATATATATATATATATATATTCATATAGATAATAGATGCAGAGGAGAGGAGAGGAGATGAGAGAGGTTTCTTGCACCGCAATTTATCTGCATATTAATTGAACAGCACAGCATATATGAGTGAAGTGCATGTCCTTTTTGATTCACACATACGAAAACTCATCTCCCTCACCTCACCTCCCCACCCCCACCCCCACCCCCACCCAATTAATGACATCAATTCATCACACCTGCAACAATACCCTTTCCTTTCCTTTCCTTTCCCTTCCTTTCCACTATTAATAATAACACACACACACATATATATATATTATATAAATATTGAGTTTGGCCTATGCATAATTCTTAATTGGAGTAATAAATTTTGTCCCATACTTATTAAAGGAGCTATGCGTGTGTGTATCTATATATATGTATATATATATAAAGAGAGAGAGAGAGAGAGAGAGAGGAGGGTAGGGGCCTAGTGGGGGGGTTGGGTAGAAAGAAGTAAATGGGATTATGTGGAGATGTATATTTATAGACAGGTAGGAAGTGTATGTAGAATTAGGGTTGGGACAAATACAGTTTAACTACTACTACTACTACTACTTACTAGCATATCTATATCTGTATCTATATTTATATATCTATCTTTTAGGGTTTAGGGTAGTGTAGTGTAGGGGCAGTGCAAGAAATGCAAGTGCAACCACACTATATCAGTATCTACTACTCTCTACTCTACTACTATATATTATACGTATATCTATCCGATTCTACAAATAACTATCTACTGTACACCTACGCCTATCTCTCTCTCTCTCTCTCTCTCTCCATATAGATATATATATATATATGGAAACGAGTGAGGAGTTATTTTTGCATACTCTCCTTCAATGACAGGTTTAATTAATTAATTAATTAACCAGTCATCAATTTACTGTATTAATTAAATGCACCTCTCTCTCTCTCTCTCTATAGATATATATATATATACATATATTATTTGTTAAAAATATAGACTCATTGGACTGTGGCCCGTAGCTCGTAAAAAAATTATACACACACTTCTCGAAACTTGCTTAAAATAAATGAAATTAGTGAAAAGGCTACGATCCATAGACAAAGTTGAAACCTTTGTATTTGTAGTTTTATTTTTTATTTTTTTGGGAGATTACTATGCTAGATTAATAATAATTAATATGATACTCATTGATTCTTGATCGTTAGATTAGTCTTTAATTCAAACACTAATATTTAATTAAAGATACATTTGTAATTTTAAGTATAAATAAAATCTACATCGATATATATATATATGAGTTTAGATTATGTGCTGATTATATTAATTTATTCAGCACATATGAATTAGTCTTAATCATTCAATAATTTATTTAATTAAATATAATATAATTTATTTATTTATCAATGGTTGTGATTGTTTTCAGTAAAACCGAATTAGATATTTCAGCAATGTATCTACCTCTCTCTCTCTCTCTATATATATATATATATATAAACAACATATATTTAATATTTATTAAGCAATATATGAATACATGCATAATTAACTTTCATATTTAATGAAATAATTTAGGATATTCACACAATATGCAAATAAGACATTTATAATGTTTTAATAGAATCGAAAAAACTTGTGATTAATAAATTTTAAATAATACTCAAAACAAGCAAGAATAGTAAACTATAATCAAAATTGTTTGGGGGTTTGGATTTTGAGTTGGATTTGAATAGTAAAAATTTTGAATTTGAATAGTTGTATGATGTGATATAAATAGGTGTTGATGTGATGTTTTTAATATAAAATTGATTTTTAGTATAATATAAAAAATAAAAATTAGGTTTTTGATTTGATATTTTTTAGGGGAAAAATTGGATGAATAGTAAGATTTTTGCAAAATCTTACAAACGAACACACCCTAATGTATCATAAAAAAAATAAAAGATTATGAGGCTCAACCCATATTATCCCAAACACAAACAAACAAACAAACCCGGACAACAATGAATTGAAAACAACAATGCATCTAAGATACAATCAGCCCCAATAACTCTCAAAATCAAACCCTAAACCCTTGATAAATTCTATTTATGGTGTAGAATACGCCAAAGTGCACAAGTACAAGAGAACACACTAAAGAACATCAAATTGCAAAGAAAAACCAGATGAATCAATTGTTCAGCCGTAACCCTCTTTGGATTTCTTCCAACTCCACTGAAACAAGAACAAAATAGCGTCTCGAACCCCACAAAACAGAGGCCAAGAACTCATGGAATCCCAAGGCAGAAGATAACCAAAAAGAGAAAAACAGAGAGAAGAATAAAATAATATAACATGTAAAGAGAGAATGAGTGCGAGTATGAATGTGTGTGTAATGAGATAACGCTGCATGCACAGGTACACACCCTAATTTATAGGTATGGTTAAAATAGATCCAAAGACTCAAATTATTACTCAATATTATACAATCATGATTAGATCTTAGTAAGTAATGAGTGAGGCCAAAAGTGGTACAAGAGTTGGACTGAAGTATAAATATGGTTTTGCATTGGGGCCTCAATAGTTCTTTGGCTAAAATATTAACAATCATTCACCTTATTTGAGACCTAGTTACTTTGTGTAATTATAGAGCCATATTGTAAATGTTTTTCTAACTTGCTAAAATAAAATTTAGTTAATAGCTACTAGACAAAAATTGTAAGACTAACTTAGACTTAGTTAAGTACATATTAAATAGTACTCTCTCCATCCCAAACAATGTGCAACATTTACTTTTGGCACGAGTTTTTAGGTGGGTAGTATTAAGTAGGATAATTTAGAAATTAGGTGACGTGATGGAGAGAGAAATATATATTTTATTTTTTTATTTGGATGATGTGATGGGATAAAGTGTGGGGTAGATATTAAGTATAATTAATTATTTCCTATTTTGAAAATATTGCAGGGTATTTGGAACATACCAAAAAAAAAATATTGTAAGGTGTTTGAGATGGAGGGAGTAGTTTAGACTAATCGAAAGTATCATGATGTAATGTCTTTTTACATATTCAAAATTTACAATAGGCGTTGTGTGCGGTAGTGTTAGGCGAAAATATCATTTGGGGTTAAAATATTTGACTCTGATATATCGTAACACTTTAGCGATAATAGAAGATAGTAGTTAGACAATTGGATGACTTAGTCGTACAGTCATTTAAAAATTAGACTCATTGTAGTTAAGATATATTCAGTCTAAGTATTTATATAAGATTTTGGTCCACTCATTAAAGTAGCTTTTAGTGAGGTCTATCGGTAGTTTGTGATAATATGCTAAACTCCAAATATGATTCCGTTAGGGCGCGCAAGGAGGAATATAATTTCTAAATTTTTCTTGGATGATTCAAAATTACACAGATTCAACTATACTATAACGATAGGACTAGACAAAAGAGTCTCATCTTCACCATCACAAACTATGTCGTGTCTTATGGTTAGTGACAACAACATCAACTATCTATGTCTTATTTGAGGGTTGTATGGTTGGTATATAGAAGTGACCGACTGACCATTATAATAATATGAATTTATCAGGTCATTTTTTTTTTAACCGAGGTTTTACCGGCTATTTGTTGATGATAGTCTAGTGAGTTCATTTGTATGGAGCCAGAGTTATTTCAATTATTCACTTAGATGAATATATATATATATACACACACATTTGCATTATTAGTCGAGTTCAACAGCTTGTTGCA